TTAGCACTCAGAATTTTCCATTGCCATCAGCACTGAGGTGAAAGACAGAAGAAGCACTGTATTAATAGCTCTGTTCTCAAATATTTCACTTTAGCCACAAAAGGCATTTACCACCACCTGGATTGAGAGTGAAATTTATTGGCCAACAGGGGTTTAATAGAAAAAGACTTAAAGCTTAGAGAGACCCTGCAAAATGCATTTCTTGGAGTGCAGAGCAATCTGTTTATTTTATAGAGCACATCTACATAGGAGAGGATGGGACATCATTAGGAGGCACAACGCTAGTCCCAGGAGAGAGCTGACTCCTGCCAAACAGAGACTTTTATTTGTTTTGTGTTTAAAAAAAGCAAGACTGATTTCAGAAACAGTTCTTCCAGGCTCATAGCCCTAGACCAAATCAGAATATGCATGTTTCAGTATGTTTCTGCTTGGCTCCATATCATGTCAGAACATTTTTTACATAGAGCACAACCACTAGAACTAACTTGCTTATTCCAAGTCATCTTCCAAAAGTAGGAAGGAATAAGTAGGAATTTCTTTAAAACAACTCCTGTGAAGTGAATCTCAATACAAAAGCCTTAATTTGCTTAAACCAGGAATGTTTATGGGTTAGCTGTCCAATCAAGCAGGCTAAATTCATAGTGGTGCAGGGCATTAGTGCATTCCCGTTCCTCCAGTGTTCCAAATAAACTGGAAAAGAAAAGCCAGAAGTAACTATATCCTCTGCACACAGATCTATCCCATGTAAATAGAGCAAGAGCATATGCAGGTTCAAAGAGGAGTGACACTTGGTCTCCTTGTGCTATGGATACAGGCAAATCAAAGGGCAGAAAGACTGAGCGTTCAGCTACAGGGCAGGCTGGCATCTAAAACCTTCACTGGATTTCTGCAGAATGTAGCATCTATGTAAATCTGCAGCCTGTGAGCTATGGCAGCAGGTACAACTTCTGCATTTACCCTGCAAGGACCCTCCTTAGGTTCACCTTTCCTTAAAGTCACTGTCCCCCTCTTCACATTGAGGGGACAGCTGATGCTGAATGAGGGTCTGCTTAAGACATGTGCCAGATCCTTTGCCTTTTGTGCCCACGCCCTTTTACTGCTCCTTCCTGATGCTTCTCCACAGCAGATGATGCCCAAAAGGGATTTTTTTCCGTGGGCTAGAGCTGTGGACCAAAGAGCTCTCCTGAGAATGCAGCAGGGAAAAGCAGAGGGATCCTATTAATGCTTCAGGGTGATCTAAGGTGAATGCTTATGCCGAATGCCAAGCTCAAGACAAGCTGTCAAGTGGGCTAGAAGGAAAGACAACCCCAAATGTTTTTGCAACACAGGTGCAGCTTCTGACACTTCATTTTCTTTACATAATGGATCTAGCTAGCAAGCAGCCACAGTGATAGGGAGAGGTTAGTACAACAGAGAGCAGTACGATGAATTCCTTTTGGAGTATTTTATAATCAAACACTACAAGCCTTTGGAAGACATGACTAAAAGTGCAAGTGCAGACAAAGTCACCCTTAGGTAATTCCCTTGATTAAAAATCTCAGACTTAAAATTAATCTAATTAAGGACATTGTGAAGGCACAGAAAGGCAGTATTCACTTATGGCCTCTTTTGCAGATGGTGATTTGCCAAACAGAATGGACAATCTTAACTGCAAGAATCACCAACAAATTCAAACAGGATGGTAAATTAGTGATGGCAAAAGTAAGCCTTACATAACAGCAATACTGCCAGATCTCCTGGTTCTTGCATTACATGCAAAAGGCACTCCCAAGAGAGGGCACTTATTTTTTTTTATAAAAAAGTCGGAAAAAGGAGAGCCCAGGCACATGCCATCCTCAGTGACACAGAAAGCATAACTGATGAAAGAGGATACCTTCCCTAGCAGTTTGTTTTTCCTTCATTGTTTGACACTGTTCCCTTTACCACTGTTGAGAGACATCCAAACACATGCTGTCGTCATCTAATAGGGTTTTCACAACTGGCCAGATGTCTGCTTTTTTTTTTTCCCCTACAGGATTTTTATAGGAGGCAATATGCTTTGATGTGTCACTGTAAGTTTTCATTTCATTAATCAGATTTCTATCAAAATGTTGATGTTTCACAGATATTTTTCTGTGATAAAGGCAAGTCAGTAAAGAAAACACTGTTGAAAAAAGATAGGGAAAAATATCGACCACTTAGAAGTTAATTTCTGTCTGATTTAATTTTCTCCTACTGTCTGCATTAGTCTCCCAGGAAAATAAGTAAGTCTACTCAAGTATAGTAAAATGTGCCTATAAATATCTGATACAGATAAGACAGAAAAATCTGTTGAGCTGCATTTGTTTGATAAAAAAGAAGTAGAAGGTACTTAGGAATTACAACTTATTTCCCTTCACTCCATTCAGCTTTATAATCAAAAAAAAATATAGATAATAACAAGCTTCAAGTAGGCAATTACCTCAAGGACCACATGTTGTACTCTAGAATCAAAAAAAATAGCAACCAAATGAATGGCTGAAATATATTCTAATAGAAAATTGGTTGGTTTTTTTCATAAACTCAGAATTGTCTGGGTTAGAAAAGACCTTAAAAAACCATCTAGTCCCAGACATGGGCAGGAACACCTTTCACTAGAGTAGGTTGCCCATAGTCTCATTCAGCCTGATCTTGAGCACTTCCAGGCATGAAGCATCCACTGCTTCTCTGGGCAACCTGTTTCAGTGTCTCACCAACCTCAGAGCAAAGAACTCCTTTTTTATGGTAAATCTAATTCTACCTTCTTTCAGCTTAAAAATATGACCCCTTGTCCTGGTAAAGATTCTATTAAAACATTTGTCCCCATCTTCCTTATAAACCCCCTTTAAATGGGGAAAGGCCATGACAAGGGCTCCCCGGAGCCCTCTCTTCTCCAGGGTGAACAGACCCAGCTCTCTCAGCCTATCTTTGCTGAAGAGGTGCTCCAGCCTTCTGACCATTTCCTTGGCCTTCTCTAGACCTGCTCTAAAACGTCCACATCCTCCTTTTGCTGGGATCCCAGAGCTGAGCATAGCACTCCAGGTGGGGTCTCATCACAGCAGAGCTGAGGAGAAGAATTCCCTTCCTCACCCTGCTGGCCACACTGCATTGGATGCAGCCCAGAATACAATCGGCTTTCTGGGCTGAGAGTGCACATTGCCAATTCATGTCCAGTTTTTTATTTACCAGTACCCCCAGTTCCTCAGGGCTGCTCTCAATTCATTTATCTCACATCTCACAGCATGTGCTGACACTGGTGATTATCTTGATCCAGGTGCAGCACCTTGCACTTGGCCTTGTTAAACTTAATGAGGTTTACACTGGAGCACATCTCCAGCCTGTGACAGTCCCTCTGGATGGCATCTCCTCCCTCCAGCACAACTGCACCATTCAGCTTGGTGTTATCTGCAAATTTGCTGGAGGTACACTCAATCCCACTATGTTGTTGATTAAGATATTAACTAGCAGTGGTCCCAGAACCAGTTTCCACTCTGTTTTTAAAAAATAACACTTGAAGTTACTCTGATCTTAGACAATTTCTCATGTTTAGCAAGACAATGAAGTTCAATCCTCAGCTTACCATTTTTTGTGACAATATATTAGCTATGCATGCACAGATACCTAACAAGAGACAAGCAAAGAATACTCAAGATAAATGTTTTTATTTTTTGTGGTTTAAGAAATAAGTATCCTAAAAAATGCCCAAAGCATTTAAAGCCACTGCTTAAAAAGTCAGGTCATGGTGTTACATCGCGTGCAACTGCTCTTGACTTGCTACAAATGTCCAGCACAGTTCCAGTTCTCAAAGCATCACACTACCATACTTGTGCAACCCTCTCAATATAGAATAGAAACACAAAACAACATAAACCACACCACAAAGTCAATCCAAAGTCTTTGAGAATGGAAACCAATAATTAGAATGAGTTACTAATAAGTTACTGGCCTAGATCCTCACCTGGTAAAATACTGGGTAGCTCAACTGTTCAATCAGTATTTTTAAGTGAGTTTCATCATACAGATAAACAATAAATAAATCATTTTAACATAATATAAAGACAACCGAAACCCCAGAGCTTACAATCACTTGCAAGATAAGTGAGAGACTGCGGAAGACTGACAACTTGTATTTGTTTCTCATTCATCTACTCATAAAAGGAGACAAGTTGATAGCTGTGGACCAACATCATGCTGTGGTCCAGAGCCAACAAAAATGTCAATGAAATCTTGCCAACTCCTTAGGTGCAATAAATCATCATAGCTTTATTAGTCAGCCCTCTAACTTCCAGCACCCAAAGATTTGGCTCTATCTACAATACATGCTCAGACAAGATATAAATCAATGCAGTGTCAACTTGACAGCAGTTGGGTTTTTTCCTTCTCAAATGTTACTGTGTCTTTGATAGTTAAAAGAAAATCTCACTAAAGTAATCTAATTTACAAGAGAAGTAAAGCATTTACAGCAGAAATTTCCTATGAACTCAGCAAACCAAGTTTACTCATTATCCATCATCCCAAAAGCTGTTGTTACCTATACTGGGCAAATTTACCCACTTAATAGTCTGTAAAACACTTGGAATCATCAATCTTTCTTCCATGAGAATGTGGAAAAGGAAAGATGCATCTCCCCTTCCCTGCATCACCACCTGGATCTGGATGGCTCCCAGTCACCACACTCGGCTGGGGTCCAGTTACAGAAATCAACAGTAGCTCCACACTCCCTAAGCTGGACTTCATCATCACCCTAAACCATGTTTGTTACTGCTCCAAGTTGAATGCATTAAATTCCTGAAGAGTTTGAACTTCTGGAGAAGCACTGCTAAGCCACTACCCAACACTTCAACAGTTTAAGCTTCCCAAGGAGCTTGGTCTAGACTTAGGACTCGTTACTCTTCTTTCTCAAATGCATTAATTATGGAAACTTTACCCACCCAGGGCTGCTCCAAGCACAGAGACTTACCATTCAGTCCCTCAAATCTTTGTATTAAAAGGCTCAAACTTACGGTAGAGTGCTGAATGGGTATCCAGGCAGGTGTTTCGACTGAGCATTTGTGAGATGGGCATCTGCCATGGCTCTGCTGCAAATAAGTGAAAAGGGCATTATACACAACACAGTATGCGCTGCAATCGCTAGGCGCAACGGACTCGATCCCATAGGGAGCATCTAGGAGCTTGCTCGTAGTCATCACACCTCACAAAGTCATTTTCCACTGTCATGTAGGAAGAATAATCTGCAGTTTGCAGGACCAAAAAGGCCTCATGTGCTGTCTTTTAATTTTGCATTGAAGTTCTTGGTTACATGGATGGAAAGGCATCCACTCTCAACCCCAAGCGTGTGCCATCTGCCTTCCCTCCACAGTGGAGCATTCAGAGAACAGCGGAGCATTAGTCAGCAGGTAGAGATTGCCTTTTTTTCCCCATTTCATGACAGGCTGCACTTTTTCCATTACGTCCTCTTTAAACCAGTGATAGATGCGGCCTGAAACACCCGACAGGGCTACTTTCTAGGAAGAGTAAGTATACCCCAAATTTTTAGGGCATGTTTCTTTTCTGAGCATAATGCTCTGCTTGCTCCCCAGATTGGTCCCTGGAGAACATGAGCAAGTACCCAAGACTCCTGCAGTTCCCTGAAGCTTTGCAGAACAAAAAGAGTGAGGGGTTAATTTAAAGTCTAACGTTCCACATGGCAGTGCAAGATGCAACCATCAGGCCTTCGGGCTGATCCTCCTGTAATTTCCCTTCCATTTGCTGTGATTCAATTACATTCCAGCCAAGGTTTGGAGCCCATCAGAATGAATTGCACAGCAGATTGGGTCACAGTCCCTGAAGAAAAGTTCAGAATAAATTCTGGTGTCTGCCACCATTACTCTCAGCATTTCACAGAAGAGTCAAACTATTACTTAGTTTCTGGAATTGGAGGACTCTAGTAACCAGGTATTTTCCTGAAGCTGGAAGTAGTATGGAAAAAAAAGGTTCTTCTTTTTATTTCATTTAAGCCAGATAAATCACAAGCATCTACATTACACCTTTCTTTTCCCCATGCTGAGAGTAAAGGAGAAAAACCTCTGCAAATACTAATGATTAGATTTCACATGATTTTTGAGCCTAATTTAAGAACTACTAGTGCTTTCTTCTTTATCTCTAAAAAGTCAACATTTGTAAAGCAGTGCAGCACTACTTTTACAAGTAAAAAAAAGAAAACACCAAAGGGAAAAAAATGTGGATATCAGATTAAGCTTTGTATTTTCCAAAACTTAAAACTGGTTATCTTTTACATTTTCAATTAGACAACTTTAAGAAATATTCATAAAAACAGCTAGCAAGCAAGAATTGTTGTATTTTTAGATGAAAGTCTATAAAATCCTGTTTAAAAGGATTTGAAAAAGTCACTGCTATCATGGCACCAGAATCCTGCAGGTGTGTGTTATCTTCCTGTAAGGAAGGGATGAATGCAACAGCAAATGATGTAATCCTATCAAAATAATAAAACTATAAATAAATTCTGATTAAAAAGACAGCATGGTCTTACAAGTAGTAATAATTTTTTACTTTAATAATTGTACATTTTCATTCTTTATTCCAAGACAAGTTAAAGGCAAGGAAATTAATAATGTGCTTTGGACTGAAAACATTTTTCTGATTGAAAAGCCTGATTTTACAGAGGAAACTATGTATAAATTTGTCAGGAGACTCCTCAAAAAGACTCCTCACATTTTTAAGAGGATATTTTTGCTAAATAAAACTCTCATAGCAGGAGGGGCTTATTCTCTTCAAGTACTCTTGTCTTTGAGATTCATACCTAAATTGTCCCAAAGCCTAGAATCCCCTGGCGCTTGTGCATATTCAAAGGTCAAAGAAACAGCGGTAACTGGGAATTGCTCAGAGGCAGCAGTTCTACAGAGTTCCCAGTTTTTCAGGGCAAGAGCTGGGCTGGTTGTTCCTGTGGGATGTAGGGTGACCTGCAGTGTTTGGCCTTTCACAGCAGGATATTTGAATTACTGTGCTGGTAACATGACATTGCACTGGTACTGTCTGAGAAATGCATGTAGTTCAAGGGCAAGGACTGAATATTTTTCTTCTATAGCTTTTTGGGGATTTGGAGTTGAATTATTTTTGAAAATTACAATTTATTTCTTATTTGAATGATCACTTCTTTTTGTCTTGTGTAAAAACCAATGCTTTTCACACCTTTCATATCTTAGACCCTCACCTAGTTGAAACAAGTCTTGGATATAAGGTTGTATATCAGCTGCTGGTAACACTTTTCTTTCTAAATGCTCAGGGTTTTTTTTAATAGCCAAAAGCTCCAACATGTCACATCTAGAGAAGCCAATTAAAAAAAAAAAAAAAAATCAGCCAAAAAGTCAACACTACATAAAGTATTCTGCAGGCATAGGCAATACAAGTAAGCATAGGAATAAATACATTGGCAAATATTTCCAGGTTATAGAAGGAATTAATTCAATTTGATTATTACTGTTAACATTTTCCTCAGCTTAGGAGTTTGGTAAGCAAAAAAAACTGCAGACCTTGGCCCATCACTACACTGAAAAGGTAGAAATCTCAAAAGTGATGAAAATCCATAGTTTAAAATCATCTTTCTTCATACAGCCTTCAAGGGAGGATAGAAGCACCTCTAGTTTCTTTCTTTGAGGATTTTCTCCCTTTCTTTGAGGATACTCAGCCTCCTGCACTAAGCTTTACCCTTGAGACAGCTCCAACACAGTGACAGACACAGCCATCCAGGCAGAGACTTTATCACAGCTAAATGAAATCAAAGCCTTCAAAATACACAAGATCTTCAGCTTGTGTAATTTTTGTATAAAGAGACCTTGGGACACAAAAGAATCATTTCATTCTCATTGCTGAATTCAGCATCATTCACAGCTTTTTTCCTGGGTCGATGCTTCAAACACTTGATAAATTGCATAGCAATGACAGTCAGGAAGCAATGAGGTGATGATCAAAATCAGATAAGAGGCTCTAGCCCCACATTCAGCTAGAGACAGTGCAGTTTCTTCTCTGGAATTCCCATGCAATTCCCAAACCTATAGGTTTATCAAACCTCCAGAAATGCAGACACCATGGGTAACCAGCAGACAGAAAGGCACTAATCTCAGGAAACGAAAAACAAGGCTGCAAACCCTTCAGAGTCCATGCACACCACCTGCCTTCCTAGCAAGCAACCCTTAAGCAAGCTTCTTTTTAACATGCTCTTCTCAGTCAGGTGTTAAAATAACTGACTGCTACCAGCACTATTTAGAAGCATCATTATAATGGATTTGGAAATGAATTAACACAAATCAGAGTGGTAGCGCATCAGTGCCCACAGCAATATTGCAGAGGGAAATAACTGCCTGTTGAATATTGAACTGGAAGGTGAGAGCTTTGTAGCACTGCACAAGAGACATTTTAGGTGACAAGAGATGTGGCTGCACCTCAGCAAGCTCTGGGTAAGATTTCAAGGAGGAACTCTTTTGTGTTGAGTGACTTCAGGAGCAAGTAGGCATATGTTATTGCCACTTTCTCATAGGCGGGGAGAGATTTTTACATACACAAAATATCAATATCAATGCCAAATTTGGATGGTCAAATATTAACATAATTATGTCATAATTATGGAGACACATTCAGAGGCAGATCTTTGCTCTGCAGGAAGATGGAACAAAATCCAGAGACAATATTTAGGAATACAAAGGTTCAGGGCTCAGCACTCTCTAAGATCTGACTTAATATTCTTTCTCAGAGAAGATATTGCTGATGAAAGTCAAAAGAAATCACAGGTTATGTTCCATTTGTATCCACTGAAATGGCCAGGAATACAAATACAAGAAGTTGTGTACAAGTCCTTGAGTGAGGTCTCTAGTAACAAAAGCATTGGCTGAAGTCAGTCCCAGCGGAACACTCTCAGCTACTCCTACACATCCTTGCAAATTATCTTCTCCGATGCTCTGGAGAAATGAAAATTGTAGATCTCAGCTAGAGGTCTTAGACTGAGCAAAATATAACATACCAGGCCATACTCCTGGCCTAATAATTCACTCATAAATAACCATTCCATTCTCCTTGACTGCACATATCTTCTAATTTTCCATAAGTCTTGCATCAGGTGAATGGACACAGAAAGAAACTTGCACAGCAGTATCAAACAGATTAACACAGAAAAGAAATACATGTTTATGATGAGAATAAGAGCCACAAGAAAGATTCTTTTCCAGCTATGTGAAATGCATAAAAATGCAGCTCAAATTGGCACTGGGGAATTATCTTCCCACCTTCACCCAGGTCCTCCAAATTTCAGGAAAAGGACCTGCTAAGGGTGTATAGTTCTCATATCATTAGGCAGCACTATAATTGAGACAGCATCAAGCTCTCTTGTTTCCTTTTTTTCGCTCAGTGTCTTCCACCTTGCTTCACCTCTGCAGCTCTCCACTGCTGTGCAGTATTGAGCCCCAGCCATATCTGCCTGAGCTGTTAATTGAACATTTTCTGCTCTCAGTTTATAGAGCTCTTCATAGATTTATGGAAAAAAAAATCACCCTTCTCCTTTCATAGCTCATAACCAGTCGCAATAAAGACATCTCTCTAGAATCACCAAATTATAATCTAATGAAATCTATTGAAAATTTCAGTTGCACTAAACAAGGTCAGTGCTTGGAAGAAACGAAGTGTCATCCAGAAATGGAGATGAAAGTAATTCCCTTCCATTCCTGCTGCTGCCATAGAGACCAAGGGAGGGGGAAGAAGGAAAGAAGAAATTTAACAGACTTAATTCTTCCTGAAATTTATAATTAACTACAAGGGAAAAGGGACTATTATCACATTTCTAAAGAATAAAGGAGAAAAAAGTTGAGCTTTTGACAAGATATAATTACCAGACATTACATATGCAGTGCACATTGGTTTGTTCTGCGTAATTTTCTTGAAATTCCCCCCCAAAATTATTTTATTTTTCTAGAAAAGACAACATGTGTCTCATCAGTTTACATTCATAATGTCTGAAATCCAAATGCTAGAGACTCACAATAATTGTTCCAAAATTTACCATTGGTAAATAAAGATTTGAAATAAATACTCA